CTGAGAGTTTGGGGTCTTTGTTTGTCAAAGCGTGGCTAGTCAGGCCTGCCACCGTCTACCGGGAGGCTTTACCCTCCCTCACTGTATCTGTAAAGACGCTCGGACGGGGATCCTCGGTGCGTGCCGCCCAAGCGCGCATGTACACCGTCAGCCGCGCTCTCGCCAGTTTAGGGTTTAGAGGAGTTAGGGTTCATAATATAGGGAGAATGGAAAAAAATGGAAACTACTATACTATATAGGGGTTATATTGGGGTTATGGTGAGTCGCTCTTCCTTGAGTAGGAAGCCTCAATGGGGACCCTCAGGTTATAGTCACCCGCAGATCCACGAATATGGGGTATATTGTAGGGGTTATAAAGGGTTCATGGAAAAGAAAATGGAAACTACCATATTATAATAGGGTATATATTGGGTTATAATCCCCCTTAAGTAGATAGAATATGGGGAATATGTTGTATATGGGGATCTTTTTTACAATTTTCCCAAAGCCATCCTCTATCTACTTAAGGGGCGACTACAAGGGTTAAGGCTCCTAGTTACAGAGACTCCCAAAGAAGGCCCCGTAGAAAGCTTGATCCTACAGATTCTGAGCCCCCTAGACTCTAAAACCCTAAACCCTAAACCCTAAATTCTAAACCCATACAGAAACCCTAAACCTAGAGCAGGCCTTGAACTCCATAGTCGCTGTCCAGTACGCGCTGGAAATAGTCTTGATGTCGAAGGACTTCCGATACCTTGGCTGAGCTGATTTGCTGGGAACCCAATTTCCATTTCCCCTAAACAATGTACCTATGGTCCCTGCTGTGGAGGCATGGTGCTCTTGATCTTCAAAAATTGTCTCGCCAAACGTCTCTTCGTAGGATATGCCTGCTTTGGCAGAACCATCTTCCTGAACAGCAGGTCCGCAACACTTTCGACTCAACTCTTTTCTGACTTTATGGTGCAGTGCTGCAATTGCCCTAAACCCTAAACTTTAGACTGGCGGCTGTTGCGTACCGAACTTTGACCGGACCTTTCATGGATCCCAAGCGCATGATGTCCACGGTGAGCCGGCCCTCAGTCTCCTCCACATAGTAAATCCTGACATAACCCGATCTGCATGCCCTGGTGCTTACCAACACATCTAGGGGGGGTTGGGTGGTGTGGGGGGGAGGGGGATATAGGGGTTTTATGGGGAATATAGTATATTGGGACCATGTAGGGTTATATGGGGTTTAGGGTTTAGGGTCTTACTGCAGAAGAGCGTCGCAGTCGTAAACTGCACTATATCCTTAGCGGCAGTGATGATAAGAAGCTCTGATTGCAATCATCCGGTGGATACTGAAAATCTTGCATGACCCTAAGTACCTTATACCTGGAGAAGTATGGTATTACAATACAATAACGTCATGCAGGATTTGCAGCACAGACAAACAAACCTTCCGTGCGATCAAATAAATCTGCAGCCCGATGTCGGCATCCGTGCGCGAGCGCTTCAGCCGACGCAGCTCACCGCTAGGTGAAAGTCCTGGTTCGTGAGTGCAATATGAGACTTTCTCAAAATTACCCCTGTAGAATCCTAAAAAGGCAACCACATATCCCTAAATTCCTTGAGGACCACATGTTTCGCTAACAAATGGTTGGAAAGCCCGACGGACCTTGGAGTGACCTGTGGTCATGAACCAGGGGCGCATACGTGTCACAGCAGCCGGAGAACATTCGCTCTACTTGGCTAGCCTGTTTTACGTGGTACGTGGCAAATGCCTGCGGAAGTCACGAGATCTCGGCTTTGATGATTACACAAGCATTCCTCCAATAGCTTCCCTGCGTTCATAAACCCCCCCTCCCATCGCTTACTCTTGCGGGGAAAGCGAGTATGTGAGCTATAGTCTAAACTCCTTAAAGGGGATTATATACGGGATTGCTATTGGGTGTAATTAAGCGGGATACTAGGAGTTTAGACTACAGCTCACATGACGCGTGCCAAACAAGTCCAGTGAAAGCGATTTTGCCTGAGTGGAGTGCTGCGCGAGCATCCGCTTCCGCGTCACGGAGGATGACAGGGCTCTGGCTTCCCTCTCAACGGCACTGAAAAAACTCACGTGCAAGCCACACTATGCTCCGCAGATCAAGCAGCATCGCTGCAGTCTGCGAACATCTGTGAATTCTGAATTTCCGAATTAAGTCTGCTGCTGGACTTCTGAAATGGAAGTGTGGGAACTGGCTGTTCAGCGAAGGCGATAAGCGTCTCGGCGCAGTTCCTGCGAATGTGCTCACCGTCTGATCACTGATCACCATCTGCGGGCGTGGCTTTAGAGCTCGTTGCTTGCCTATGTCTACTCCACATATTGCAGGTTCACCGAGTCCTGCGTACATGCGGCCTGCCCACACAAGACGGAACGCAAATGTCTCTTCGGTTGCCCATGGCGCCATCGTATCTGCGCCTCTCGCAGCAACTCCACGTCATAGACCTCGTAAACGCGCCGCCGCTGCTGCTCCCTCTCCTCAGTCGCGGCACAAGCTCACTCTGGACCTGGGTCAGGCTGCTAGGTCCGCTAGGTTCGCGGGCGCTGCTTACAGCACGCTCAGCAAGCAGCAGCACCTGGCAGGGACTCAAGTGCCAGTGGCTGCATGCAGCAGCTTCTTGCAAATATGAAGCAGGAAAATCGACCGAGCCAGGCGCAGATGTGCAGGCTGGCTGCAGGGGGAAGCGCTTTAGCCTGAGCCATGTCCATCGACGTCTTAAGTCCTAAGGCACACAGCTCTGCTTACATACGTCAGAAAAGCCCAAGCCTGAGCCCAAGCCTAAGCCTTCATAAGGGCAATGTGTTTACTCCGGCATATGCCGGCAGGTTGCAGGCATGCAGGCTTGGGTCCTTCGGGCAGCCCGTCTCTCCCTGTGCTAACTGCAGAACCCGCAGAACCTGCAGAACCTGCATGGTGTTGCATGGCCATAAGACCACGGCCACGTCCCACCTGCGGCGGCAACCAGCATCGGCAGCTCTCGCTTCTCCCCAACCGAAGGGAAGCAGTAGACCTTCTGAAACGCATTCCACATCAAAGCAGGACCAGTCGCACAGCGGCGCACCTACAGCGCTAAACTGGGCTCATGGCTGATATGCCCTGAAGCATTGGGCCGTTCTCGCGAGCACGCTCCAGGGCTGCTGCGAGGGAGTATCCTTCTGTGCACAGCATCTCACTTGGTTCTGGGCAACTTTTGCAGAGCTTCTGTGGATGCAGGAAATCTTACACGACCATAACCTCTACCCTGGGAATTACAGCACAAGTGAATCCCAATGGGTGCAAGAGTTTCCCCATCCACCAGCACGCAATGGCAACAGACCTTGCGTGATGCCGCGCTTGCGGGCAAAAGCCGCTTCACACACCTCATCCTGCAGCAGAAAACTGGGTTGAGGTAAAAGGGATTATGGGATTAGAAAGCGTCATATGGTGATGATGTAGGGGTCATATAAGAGTTATAGACGCAGTATGGACAGTTGGGGAAATCAAGCTACCATCATGGAGAATCCGGTGGAAAATTGAATGGAGACTGGGGCTAGGGAGGCTTAAACTGAATTGTCGTAACTTGGTTTGGGGCTTAGATTCAAGGGTTACCAACGCAAACCATTTTTTTACATTCCACACAAGCTATAGTCTAAACTCCTAGTATCTCCCTCAGCAAGCCCTATACCACCCACCTATATAGTCACCTAAATAACCCTCTTTAATGAAGTTAGACTATAGCGCACATCATGGCAACTTCATGAAAGTTCCTGAACGGCAGCCCAGAAAAAACAATCCATGGATGAGGTTGCCTGCCTACATGCGGGGTTTAGGGCTTTAGGGGTAAGGGTTTAGGGTTTGGGGTGTAGGGTTTAGGGTTTGGGGTTTGGGGAGATGAAGGTCCCAGTTTGGTACCCCTAAATGCAGTAATATAATTGTCAAGCATAAGGGGCCCGTGATTTTGATAATAGCCCATGTATTTCCAGGAACAACTTCCCCCGTTGGGAGCCCTAGGATAATTAGTGTACTGCTTCGGGATCTAGACTATTGCGGCCCCTAGAGCCCTAAATAGCAAGCGAAATACCCAAAGCCTAAAACCCTCAACCTCTATCCACGGAAACCTCCACACGCGAACAAGCTCGCCTTGAGGACGAAATCTGTTTCGTCCACCAAGCGGCCAGCCTCCATGCGCCGATGCTTAAGGGACCAAGGGACAAATGAGGGGTTCAAATAATGAGAATTGTATTCCGGAATTGTGGGTTCTGTAACCCACCCCCTTATACTACCCTCCGAGGGCCCTGACCATAGGGTCCCATTTGGAGGGATACAGGGGCTTACAGGGTTTGGGGCTAAAGGTCCAGACATTTCGCAAGTTTATAGCTCTTCACAGCAGCTCTTGCAGAACACAGTGGGAACAAAACTGTGAAAAGCTCGCAGCACTGTAGGAAGTTCAGTGTGTCGAAGCCCTCCGTGAGCAAGGGCAGTCTTTCACCAGCAATTCAAAAGGAGGAGAGAAGAGTCGCAACCACAAAGCAGCAAGCACGCATGATGTTGTTCGCACTATGAGCACGAAAGGGTAGTGAACGCTACACAAGTAGAAGGCACATGTCGTCCAGCAAACAAGCACTATATTACCCGTACCATGGCCGTGCAACTTAATTAGCAGGGTCAGCACACAAGCGAATATGCGAGTACATGAGAAAATCCCCTCCCATAGGAATCCCAACATCTAGTACAAAATCGCGAAAATCCCATATAGAACCCCTGTATAGGCCCCGTATATCCCTATAGAATTCCCTCCCTTATACTAGCCGCAAGTCCTCTAAGCATGCAAAACAAATCTGCCTCGCGGCAGGCCTTAACCTGGCACTTGGTGCATTATCTCTGCCAAGGATATTCAGACTATATGCTATATTGGGCTTATATAAGGATGATGGAAAAGAAAATAGAAACAACCATTTGGGATTGAGGGAATATAGTACCCCAATATGGAAGTCCAATGGAAAAAAATGAAATGGAAACTGAAATTATGTAGTTGTTTATGAGGCGGTATGTCTGCGAAGTTCGCCAAAGCTACGCAATACAAGAATGTGATGACACAATTATTCAGCAGTGCAATCATGCTCTAGCATTTCAGCATGTTGAGATTCTACAGCACTAGCACAACAATACACGAACAGATCTTACAGGATAAGGCGGGTATTTCATAGATTCCCCAAATCAACGGACCCCAATGTAGACTCTTTAATTTTGGGAAGTTGCTATCTACTTCTTTTTATCAAGGTTGGCAATCTTCTTCTAAGGCTACTATATACCCTAGCCCTAAGCAGTAACTTCCATTTTCTTTTGAAGCAAATAATCCCTGAAAGAGCTAACGTCTAAGCTCCTCGTATCCCCCTTTTTGACTTTGACAATGCCGCAAGACCCGTAGTGTGCTAAGCCTACACCGTCATCTGACATGGCATATGTCAGACGGCTCCTCAAGAGATTCGGCGTTGAGTCAATAGATCCCTCATGGGTGGCTGGGCTTACCCCGTAAGGCCTAAACGGTAAAAAATAAAGGTGGGCACTATACATTATAAAGATATTAAAACACTGATGCAAGCCGCAAGCGGCAATGTGCTAGAGAACTGAAAGCAGCAGGCAGCCCTGAGCAGCTGCAAGCTGTAAAGTGCAACCAAGGGTAGGGTGTAGGCCTGAGCTTTCCCCTAGGCTTAGCAAAGCCGGTCAGAAAAGGAGCACTATACACTGTACAAATAGCAGCTCACTCAGCAGGGCCGGCGGCACCACACATTTAACTGAAGGTCGCAGACAGTGGTACGCTCTGCTTGCAGTGAGTAGGTTGTAGGCTGAGCTTGCCCGATTGGCGAGCAAGCAGCGAGTAAAGTGCGACCACGTCGTAAAGTGCGACCACGTCGTAAAGTGCGACCACGTCGTACCGGTGAGGGACCCGTTTTGGAATCACAGAAGCTTTTTTCGCTGGTGCGCCATGCAGTCCAGCTCCCGATGCCTCGCCCTTGACCTCAACCCTCACTTGTAGCAGTGGGAAACAAAGCTGAGTATGCCCTGATTGTGCCCGCTGCTGTCTGGACTTGGGACCAGACCGGCTCACTGTCAGAAATGCTCCATGCTCCATTCCATCTTGAGCAAGGCAGAGTAGTGACCGTGCACGTAGCGTCACCTTCGAGGACCAGGGAGCAGGTAGACGTCCCCACAAACTGCACGCCAGCCAACCCAGGAAAAAGTCAGCGGCAAAACTTACTATGGGTCTCCACAAAAATCGGGTGTTACAGGGTATCGCCACAGCGCGTGTGCACAACTCTTTGACCTTGTTCCTTGCAGGCCCGCCTGGCCACTGGCATGTACAATGCCATCTAGGGGGCAGGAGCGAACAATCCATAGTGCACGTCGCCACGTACTCAGGCTTGGCGCTGAGATTAACTGGAAGACCAACCAACTGGGGCCGACACACAGCACCCTAACACACGAATGTAGTTCAGGTGCTTCTTGTCAGAAGGGGCCGAGAAGCGGCACCTTTTTAGTATTACAGGGCGTTAGAACCGTGTTCAAGGCAGGGAGCCCAGGGCCAGTGAAGACAAGCCAGTCGAGGCCCGCGTCCGTTCGAAGCAAAACACAGCAGTCCTAACTCAAGAGCCGAGAAGCTTCCTAGTATCCCCGTGAGTAACTTCTATCATACTCCCATATATCATTCCCCTTATAACCCCCCTGTAAGCAGTTTAGATTCTAGCTCGTACAACCCCAATCCCCCTAATTAATTATGCAAGGAGCGTAGTCGAAGGAGAGGATGTGCGCTCCAGTGCAGATGGCACACATCATCTGGTCCAGGCGAGGAAGAAGTTGGGGTCTTGGCTTTAGGGATTGGGGCACACTATGCCGAACTAACACGATGATATATTTCATGTCCCTAAAAAAGGGCAGTAGTCTCTATGGAGCCGTTTTGGAGGTCTCATGTTAGTTCGGGAAGGTAAACAATCTATAATCTAAACTCCTTAAAGGCGGTCATATAGGGGATTATATAAAGGACTACTACAGGGGTGATTAAGGGGGGTCTGTGCCTTTGTCGTCCTTCGAAAAGTGTCCGCAATCAGGTGCCTCGCACGGCACAATGCTTCGGGCTGAGCAGGTGAGCGCCTTTTTACATGAGCTATAGTCTATAAACTCCTAGTATCCCCTAGCATTCGCCTTTATAACCGCTGTCTTAGTCCCCTACATAACCCCCTTTAAGGAGTTTAGACTATAGATCACATAAACTGGCCAGAGCAGCGAGACATGGGGAGTCCATTCTGCGACCTCAGGGCTTCAACCGTAAACCCTCAACTTCGCAACAGCTGGGTTACTGTTAAGGAACGTTAAGGAACTTAATTTAAGTTACCATAATATGAGTATATATTAATAATGGGAGTTCCTTAATCGAAGCTCCTTAACAGCAGCCCAGACAGTGTCCATGATCAGAAACCTTACAGGTTCCTAGTAGGGAATGAGGGAACATAATGCCTAAATGATCCCTATATAATATGAGCTATAGTCTATAGTAATCCCTTATGTAACCCCCTTTTAAGCAGTTTACATGTTGCCTCATATATTCCCTTATTCCCCACCGAAACCCCTTAAGAAACTCGTCCGGGCATGCGGCCAGCAAACCTTGCAGATCTAACAAGAAGCGCTGCTGCCTCCCAGATTTCAAATATACGGTTTTAGAATTCAGGGTTAGGGTTTAGGGTTTAGTCAGCGTGGAGTCTAGCAGAGATGTACGGGGGACTAGACGAAGTCACCATAGGAAAGCCTGTGTCCCTTTCCCTTCGTGTTCCCTTCTTTGCTGGCAATGATATCGAGTGCGGCTTATAGTGGTACCATTACAAGGGATTGCGCAAGGATTCAGGGGGCTCATGCACGGATAGTTACGCAGAATATGGAGATGTTGGTAAGCCCAAATGCAAGCTTCTTCAAGGACAAGACCCTAAACCCTAGACCCTAAAACAAAAGCTCGAAGAGCAGCCTGTTGCTCAGCTCCAGTCCCGTAATGGCCTCATGGAGACAAGACTCAAACAGCGCCATCATCATTGCTCTTGCTATTGCTATTACTATTCTTATCTTGCACTACTACTATTATTGCTATGCTGTGAAGACAGTGATGGAAATTCGAGAATCCTCTTGACTGAAGAGGCTTTTCAAGCCCAGATACTAGGTGCCCCAGTAACCCATTAAAAAAAAGGGTACCCTTTTTCCTACTGTTCTGTTCTAATAAGGAGATCCAATATAAAAAGGGCAACAGGGAACTGGGGTACCTAGGATAAGCACCTAGACGGGCTAGACGCAGCGTCCAGTTGCATCCAAGCGTCAAAGATCGGCCGCCCGTTTGCAGAGGCGACTGCCGCTTCTGCCGGATTAGCGAAGGCTGAATCCTTCAGAGTCCTGGCTGCAACCCTGCACCCTAACCCCTGAACCCTAGACCCTAAACCCTATACCCTAACCCTGAACCCTAAAACCCTGAACCCTAAACCCTAAACCGTGAACCCTGAACCGTGAACCCTAAACCCTAAACCCCAAACCCTAAACCCTGAACCCTAAACCATGAACCGTAAACACTGATTAAAGGACGAGACAATAAAGCCCGCAGGATCCGGCCTTGGACAGGCCTTTGCTTTCTTGGCTGCTTCCTGAAATCGCAGGCAGTTGTTACCTCTGATCAATCCAGGCAAAAACCCTAAACCCTAAACAGTAGTTTCCATTTTATGTTCCATTATCCCAATATAACCCCTATATAACTCTATATACCCCCCTATATAATCCCCTATAGAATCCCAATATAACCCCAATATCACCCCAATATAACCCCAACATAAGCCTGAAGAAAGTTCTAAGCCCAATCAGTACAAACCGCTACTGCAATCAAATGCAAGTCCTTCGGGGTTGCCTTGCGGGCTTTCTTCTGAAGATCCTGCACTTGGCTTAGGGTGTAGGGTGTAGGGTTGAGGGTTTTGGGTTTGGGGTTTAGGGTTTTTTGCCTTCTTCCCCTCATCATCGGGCGGTTTTCAGGAACTAGGGGTAGTTTTCCGGAGGTTCCCACAGCAAGGATTCTAGTCTAATGGGGTCATATATGGGTATCCTTTAGGAGGACAACACACCCTGTAATAGTGGTATAGTAGGAATATAAGAGGATCCCAATATCATCACCATTATCCCTTATAGTCACTATTACTGGGTGGGGGGTCCACCTAAGGTATCCTACTTTTCCTAAACCCTAAACCCTAAACCTTAAACCTTAAACCCTAAACCCTAAACCCTGGGAAACCACCATCTCGCTCCGTAGCGCTCCTCGTTTTGCTTCGCCGGGGCCGCGCGCTTCTTTCGGCCGCCAGCGTTGGACTGCAGAACAGACACTCTCGTGGCTTGAGGTCTTGAATAGCGCAATCTTGCAGCCACTTGGCTACATAGTATATTGGGGTTGCATAGGGATAGTGGAAAAGAAAATGGAAACTACTGTAGTAGATTGGGGTTGTATAGGGATGATGGACAAGTACATACCCGAAAAGTTTTTAGGTGTTTTTCAAATGGCCCTGTTGCCACCTTGAGGGCCTAAAGGATTACGGGTTACTGCCGCTGCTTTGCTGCCTCCCACAAAGCTCTCTGCAACTTACTGGTGCTTAAGGGAGCGTAATGATCCCAATCCCTACATGTACACCTATACTGGTACCTATATTCACTCCCCCACTACTCTGAACCCTAAAAGCTGTACTCTACACCCCGAAAATGGCTCCGATATTCACTACCCCACTCCCCCTTAAGCACCGGTATGGCAAGCAACAGTCCGAGCAGGACTCCTCCTCAGCGCCGGTCTCCACAATTTGCGAGGCGGTCTGGGTCGCTAGAGGCCTCATGGGCAAAACGTGCACATACGAGGGTTCAGGGTTTAGGGCTTACGGTTTAGGGCTTGGGGTTTAAGGTTTAGGGTTTAGGGTTAGAGGCGTCATGGACACTATATGTACAGGTATGTGTATATATATCTATACATAACATGAGAATTAGTAAGGTTATGCGGCGATAATGAAGGATGTAGAGGGGCATATAGGATGAATGGAGAATCAAATGGAACATGAAATTGAAATTGCCTTCTTTTTCAGGGTTTTAGGTTTAAACATACTAGGTAACCAAATGGAAAAGAAAATGGAACATGACATGGAAACGCCTTTACAGGATTGAGGGTTCAGGCCTAGCTAGGCATACCATGAATTACTAGCTCTATATATAGTTACAACTTTAGGGTGATGTAACCTAGTTAAGACTTGAGTGTTTTTCGACCTAGGTAATATATAGGGAGTGGAGAGACCCTGCTTCCCTCTCACGTACATACATATATACATACGTGTGTATGCGCGTACAGGGACTGCTATAGGGATCCATATGACATGTTGTTTCAAAACGGAAAACCAATGGAAGAGAACGCGAAAATGAGATGAAATTCGGCTAATATGCGCTATGAGCCCCAAACCCTCAGGGATTCATGTAGAGGCCTCAATAATCTGAACAAGCTGTTGGGACTATTGGACTGCAGCTATGAAAGAGCTAAAAAGGAATAATGTTGGTACAATAGGCGCAGACGCTGTTCCCAAGACTGTCGGAGGCACGTACCAATGGAGGAAACCTTGCACAACACCTTCCGAGTTACATGTTTATGTGGTCACTGCGTGGTGCAAGACGGTTAGTACCCCAATACAGACCAAAATACTATAATCCTTCTTATGGGGACCCTGAACGCTAAACCCTGAACCTTAAACCCATAAAGGTACCCCTTTTTTGGAAGAAAGCCTCAGATGTCCTCCATCCCCCGTAGCTTAGGCTTGGCTTCAGCAGAGCGGCGTCCTCATCGGCTTGGCCCTAGTCTTGGCCTGCGCCATGCGACTCACGTTCCCTTTTAGGGTTTAGGGTTCGGAGTTCAGGGATTAGGGTTTGAGGTTTAGGGTTGAGGGTTTAGGGTTGCGGTTTAGGGTTTAAGGCAAATAGCAATAGTAACCATGATTTGGATGCTGTCCCCACCCAGTGGCAGTCCACAATAGCGGAGAAATCAAGGGCTCTAAAAATCTATGCATGAATATATATATATATATTCATGTATCATCCAATTGTTACTGAGTGGGGGCAGCACTCAAACCATAATAGTACTGTTGCTAATAATATCATATATATATATGAAAGTAACCATAGTACTAATAGCAAAACAAGATCACGTTCAGGACAATAGTAGTAAGAGAAATTGCCTGATGATAAGAATACAGCAGTAGCAGCAACAGTCAACGTACGAGCGAAGATAGTCACAGTATAGCAATAGCCAACAAAAACATACTGCTTGTCCGTATTTCTCGTTGTCTCCCTCGCAATGCTGAAATTGCTACATGGCAATCAAACATCCTTTTGACGGTAGCTGCAAAGCGCCTTCGCCGGGGTCAACCTGCCACGGATTATTTTTGGGTTGCCGTTAAAGACTAAGTTAAGTTACCATAATGAGTATGTATATATATATATGGTACCCCCATTATAGCAACACTGGTTGCAATCGAAAGACGCTGCAAGGCAGTCTGACAGATTGAAAAATCGTTGGGCTGCCGTAGACATTAGTATGGAGTCCTCATGAAACCTGAGACGCAAAGATAGTTAAAAAATCGAAAGGCAAATCCAGATGATTTGTGGGTGCTCCTGCCTCGCTGGTGCAGTTGCTCGTCGCATCTTAGCCAGAGGAGCATCCGAGTCATCATCGCTGGCACACCTGTGCAACAACCTGCGCAACAAGAATCGCAAAAGCTATGGCTTTGGTTCAAAAAATGTGCGAGCCATAGTCCAAAGTCGCAGTATCCCCCCTAATGACAACTATAATAGTCGCCTATGTATTCCCCTATGTAATCCCCTTTGAAAGAGTTTAGACTCTAGCTCATGTGACTGCACCCCTTTGCCTGTCAACTTCCTGCGCACTAGCAAGGACCTCAACATGCAAACACGCGTATCTCTAACATCTGGACTGCACTGAGCGTCTGCCTCACACTATGCCTTACTGGTTCTTAGCACGGAACAAGGGAAGGCCTAGATAATCAGTCTATACTGCATTCCTTGCTTCCTTACTGAGAACCAATAAGATGCCGACAAGACCAGACCAGACCCTTAAGCCGAGGGCTTCTGCATCTATGGTGCGCCCACGCTTGCCTGCACACCATCTAAGGTTTGTTTTGGAAGAAGTGTAGGGTTTAGGGTTTAGGGCTTAGGTGATGTGAGAGAATATCGTTGAACTGTTCTGAGCCTCTCTTTTTCTCAGCGCAGTCCTTCTCGCTGGTGCCTGGCGCTTCCTGCAAAGCAGAATGGAGGTTTCAATAAACAGCAAGCCCAATATAGACTCCAACATACTGTGCAGTAATAGCCGTCACTAAAAGAAGGACCCAGAAGATTTGGAAACCCTGAAACCCCTTAAATCCTGTAAATTCCTATAAACCCCACTATACCCCACCGTCCCCAGCGTCCTGAGCAGGCACATCAGCTGGTGGGCCTGACAAGGACCAACTTCACCTACTGGCTCTTAGTAGACTGGGTTCTTGTTGGAATACTATAAAAAAAAAAAGATCATGTTTAATCTGTATTGGGCCCAGGTATACTTGAAATGAAAACATGTTATTCAACAAGAACCCAGGTAGAGAATGGGGAATCAAATGAACAATAAAATGGAAAAATATTTGGAAACTGGGTGCTTATAGGGCTACTTGTATGTAGAGTGTGGGGTTTAGCTACCTCCAGTTAGCAAGGAACGAAAGAATGAATCCGTAGAATAGTAGCCCCTACATACATCCCAAGAATGCACCAGTTTCCATGTGATGTTCCCTTCCTCCATTTCCCAGGCCCATACGCCCCAAGTCGCGAATGGGATTAGAAAATTAATTTCATTTTCCATGTGCTTGTCCGCTTCATGCTCCGTGATTGGTAAACCCTGTATATCTCTGAAGATGCCTACCCTCCTTTTCCCTATAAACCCTGCAACTGAGCATCCCTACATACATCCCCCTACCATAGTATCCCCAAATAAAACACTACTTATATGTCCCTACCCTGTACATCTTTATGAAACTTATGGTGTCCTGTATATATGTATATATATCTCTCTCTCTTTAGGCGTCCCTATGAGCTACAGTCAAGATTTCCTACATAATCTAACGGACATGGGTTCAGGGTTTAGAGAATATGAGTAGTGGTTTTTTTGGTGGTTTACAAAATACTATACCCCAAAAGGAGGATATAATCTTGCTCTATAATGGGTACCATAGAATCCCCAAATAGAATACTACTCAAAGGATGTTAGGGATACTAAACTTCAAGAGGGACCCCTTTGTGCACCCTTGAGGCTGCCTTAGTAAGGCTATTCTTGAAGATTGCTGATATGTTACCTACAAACCCGTACATAATCCCACTTTCCGTGTCATTTTCCATTGTCTTTTCCGTTTGCTTCTTCATAGTCAATTGGCGTCATATCCCCACACAAGAACCCTACACCCTAAACCTCAAACCCTAAACCCCCAAACCCTAAGACCCAAACGCTAAACCCCCAAAAACCGAAACCCCAAACCCTGAACCCCAAACCCTAAACCCGAAACGCTACACCCCAAACGCTACACCCCAAACGCTAAGCCCCAAACGCTAAGTCCCAAACGCTAAGCCCCAAACGCTAAGCCCCAAACGCTAAGCCCCAAACGCGAAGCCCCGAAGCCCCAAACGCTAAACCCCAAATCCTAAACCCCCAAACTCTAACCCGCAAACCCTAAATCCCTAAACCCTAAATCCCCAAACCCTAAACCCTAAACCCAACACCCTAAACCCCTAGATAAAACTACATGGGCCTGTCGGGGTCAGCGCCACCGGGCCGCCGAGCTCTGCTGGCAGCGGTCTGGTCAGGCAAAGCAGAGGGGTTTAGGGTTTAGGGTTTAGGGTTCAGAGTTTAGGGTTTAGAAACGAATATATGTGTATATATGTATGTATATACATACTATAGGGATATATGAGCTTTTATAGCGTGGGGATACAGGGGGATATGTAGGGGTTTGAAGAATGTAGGAACAGTCCTCCACACCTTGAAGGTACCTTCCGGCCACTCTTTTCTCAGGCTGCTCAACTGCAAGCATGGTCTCTTTTGAAAGATGACCAGGCAGGCTTCAGCGCTGTTATGAGCTAGAGTCTAAACTCCGGGTATCCCCCTTAATAACCCCTACAAAGTCCCCCTGTATATTCCCCTTTCAGGAGTTTAGACTGTGGCTCATATGACCTTGTACAAGCTGTGGGGCTTGCGTAATCTCAGCTGAGGAGGCACTTCGGTTGCTCGGCGGCTTCGGGAAACTTTGCCATCCCTGCTTCCAGCATAGTAGTTGCTCTTCCTGTCCATGATTCTGCCACCACGCGGTCGCCGACGGAATCGCGGCTTGGCTCTAAAGCTTCATGAGGTAGGGTGACAATGCGGTGCTGGAAGGCTACGTTGTCAGCCCCCCACTGAGAACTTCAGAGAAATATCTCCAACCCACGGTGAAGAGCGAGCCTTGCACGCCTGCGCCACCAACTTCCAGGAGTTCATCATTCACTACCAGCATATCTTAGATACATCCAACTGCCTCATGCTGCCAAGAATCCATTCGCAAGGATGCGAGTCTTGAGACCGCGCGACCAGAGTCCTATCAAGCCCTCCTTCTGGATGATGCTCTGAGCCTGTCAGCACCCCCAAGCCCGCACAAATGGACTCCATCCCAGAGTCCCGTTGCAGTCAAGCAACCGCTTCCAAATAACCTGAAGGACAGCCAATGAAGCAAACAAAATGTCCTGCAAAGGTGCTTCTTACAACGCTGAAAGCCAGGCAAGGCGCTGATGCGGGTCAGCGATGTCTGTCGGTTCACTTTCAAGACTCGGATAGGGTTACAGATAGCATCTGCCACCACGGATGAAGTGAAGCCAATGAATGCGTGTCTCACGTGCTTGCCATACCTGGAGTTGCCGGACGCGCATGTGCCCACTCAATGACACAACGACTTGTGATAGCAGTGGTGATCGGAAATGAAGAGACAGACTAAGAACGTGCCTCATCTCAAAGGGAGGAAGGATTTCGCGAAGCAGGTTGTTCGTGTAAAACCACCTGGGTAGTCTTTGCTCTGACAATTCTCTGACACAGCATGCTCTCATACCAAGGTGCGGGTAGTGTCCAAAGCCACCGGTGACTAGCACTCCCATGCCACCATGCCAAAGTGACAGCGGATTCACACGAGCCTGCGCCCGGCTTGGCACTGCCATAAAGCTTGACGGAAAGGCTGCACTCCCCTCCACCGAACATTAAACATCCCCGCCCCCCCTAATATCAAATACTCCCATTATGTGGTGTATTATGATGTATTGGGAGTATCTAAGATTACGGGGTGGGGGGGTTGAATACTAGGGGGAGGGGATTAATCTGTTGCAATCTGCCGCGCCTTTCGCAGCAGGTGCTCCAGACCGGCCTGACCAATGCAGATCAAGGCAGAGAGAAAGCTCCAAGCTCCAACTTGCTGGTTCTTAGTCGGGAATATGGGAATACCACCATTCCTATATAACCCCTGAATACTATAGTAGTTTCCATGTTCTTTTCCATTATCCCTACGTAACCCATATGTAAACCCCTATATAACCCCTGTAACAGACTTTCCCTTATTTCCTACTACGAACCAGTAAGCCCTGATGGCCCACCTTGCCGTGCACCTGCTTGTTCACCTTTCGGTTTAGGGTTTAGGGTTGAGGGTTGAGGGGTTAGGTTGGGTACTGCCACCCTCAGTAACAGTTGGATAATAAATATAGTGTGGTTATGTATAGCCCTTATTGGGACCCCTAATATAGACTGTTACTGGGAGGGGGCAGTACGCAAGGTTTTTAGGGTTTAGGGTTTAGGGTAGCTTTGAGCACAGCCCGCTGAACAGCTCTGCTGCACTGCGAGCCTTCCACGCGTCGAGAGGCAGGATGACTACTCGAAACATCGCAGCCGTCACAGATGCACCTCACGGCAACCCAGACCCCTGGGAGGATCTAGAAAGTAGAACCCTCATTTTGGTACCCTATACTACCATCGGGTAATTTCGGTCTGGGAGTGGAACAACAGCAATAAGGATCAAGCTGATGATACGTGATAACAGACATGATATGAGAAATCATAACAATCGCTCACCTCAAGCAGCATGTACCTCTAGATCCTAAAGCGGCGATGCAAGCCGAGACACATTGGGATATTGGGGTCATATAGGGATAATGGAAAATAAAATGGAAACTACTATGTAGGGTTTAGGGTTCTTTTCCATTATTCCTATATAATCCCTATTTCACCTCCCAAACAGTGATGCAAGCCGAGACACAGAGAGTCTTCAGCGCCAGAGGCATCTGCACCGATGAGAGGCCTTCACATGCTCTTATTGGGGGTGAGTTAAATGAGTATGGTGAGAGTCATTTAAAGGAATATGGGGAATGTAGTATATTACCCCTATATAATCCATGCTACTCCCCTATAAGGTATATTATACTACCCATATATAAGCCCTCCATAATCCCTCAAAATAGGTTCTCGTATTCAATACTAAGCCCCTTGTAAGTGCCAAGGTTTCCAGACCCCAGGGGGTCCCTAAACCCTACACCCTAAACCCTACATAGTAGTTTCCATGTTCTTTTCCATTATCCCTATATAACCCCAATATAATCCCTATATAACCCCTGAATACTATGGTAGTTTCCATTTTCTTTTCCATTATCCCTATATAACCCCAATATAATCCCTTGTAGTGCTGACAGGCGGCTGGAGAGCGCCAGCTCATTTGCTGCCTCTGTCGATGCGCTTCAGGACTTCTACACTTTGGGGAGTTACTGAACTCCTGAAAGGAGGTGCTAAGGTACTATATACAGGGGACTACTATAGACCCTAAACCCTCATCCCCAAACCCTGCACCCCAAACCCAGAACCCTAAACCCTTGAGTGGGATATTTGGCTTTGGCTTCATAAAATAGGTAAGGCGCCGTATCTCCAAACCTTGCTGTGGGGGCCAGGATCAGGGCCGGCCTGAAGTGCAACAACGCAGCTGAAAGCGATGCAAATTAGGGGTTTAGGGTTTAGGGCGGGGTACCATTTAAAGTTAAAGGTTTATATAAAGAAAATACAGGGGTTCCTTATTTTTCAGTATTGTATTACTATGATTGCTATAATTGTTATTGTTAGCATGGCTATTCTTATTGTTGTACCGTAGCTGGACCCGCCACCCTGTAATAGTGACTGCAAAGGATAATAAGGATTATATGAAGGTCCTGTTATATATTCCTAGTATATCACTATTATAGGGCCTCCTAAGCTAAGAGGTACCGTTTAACGGGGTATATACGGGTTGTACCGGGGGGTTTAGGGTTTGGCGTTTCCCAATGGTAGCGGTACCTTTTGGGGTCCCTACTATAAGGACAATAGTGTTTAAGGGGTCTTGAATGGGGTCCCCATTCTTTAGTTGGGTGCTGCCCCACTCTATAATGGGGGGTCATATTAAAGATTGTGTATAAATATATTCATATTATGCCGCTTATCATGCTGAAGACGCTGATTGCGCTCATTCCAGTACAGCTGAGCCGCATCAAGCCTCGGTAGAACCTGGCAATTCCACCCTCTTGGTAGAGAGTTGTGGCGACTTTGACAATCCCCTCACCATTCTTGTACTGGTACTCCATGATGGTCCGCAGCCACATCAGTGGAAGCACGTACATCACCTGCGCACAACCACCTGCCACGCCACTGATCATAGCAGCGTTGAAGGTGCGAAGAAAACGAGCATCAGCTAGCTGCGTCATCTCAAGAAAACATAAGACTTCTGACAAACAGGCAGAAACTTGAGCCGATTCTGGCTGCGAAGACGAGTTCCTGAAGGAACGAAGCTGGTAGTGGGACAGTTTTATCTTTTTCATTTCAGGTGACTTCCTTGTGCAACGATGACTTCAGAGTATTGAACAGATAGCTGCCTCAACCGAAGCATTCAGGCTTGTTTCTATCCTATCAAGAGTTTGGACGCGCATTCCATCTAACTGCACATTTCTTTGCCTGAAGGAACGAGCTCAGGGAACATCTGTTGGCCGTTTTGCAGGTATCCTGAATCACTGGTAGTTTCCCTAAATAGGGGGACCCCAATAGAGACCCCAAGATACTATAATCCTTATTATGGGGACCCCCCAAAAAGGGCTACCCCTAAATTTGGGGAACCCCTCGGCTGTCTTCGCAGCCTCACTGGAAAGCTTCTCAGGAATTCCCGCAGCTTTGCTGGAGATTTTCGCCCCTTACCGAGGCCCACACCGATGTGAACCCCAGGTGTCCATCTGGGGGTTTCCCGTAATTAGGGTTCCTTTTTGGGGCCCCCAATAGTAAGGACTATAGTATTTTGGGGTCTATATTGGGATCCCCCATTTTGGGAAACTACCATTTCTTTCTCCAATTCATTGTCCATTTGAGCCATAATCTAAACTCCTTAGAGTGGGTTATGTAGGGGATTACATAGGGGACTTCTGTAGGGGTTATAAAAGAAGATACTAGGAGTTTAGATTCTGGCTTAGTTGATTCTCCATTATTGGGGGGGTACTATATCACTATGTCTTCCCCGTTGCAATCACGGTGTGGCCTCTGCCACTTGGGAGGTACACTCGTCTTGGTCCTTCACAGAACAGCATTGTGGAACACCATGAGCCATAGCCTGAACTCCTGTCATCCCCCTTAATAACCCCTATATAATCCCCCATACATGTTTCAAAGAGTTTAAACCCTAAACCTTAAACCCTTTATAAACCCCCTTTAAAGAGTATGAACTATCCTTAAACCCTATATAACCACCCCCCCTTCAAGGAGTCTAGACTAAAGCTCACATGGCAGTTTCCCAAAATAGGGAGACCCCAACATAGACCCTAATATACTATAGTCCTCATTATTGGGAACCTCAAAAAGGTACCCCAAATTTTGGGGATCCCCCACATTGGGTTCAACAAGTTTCACTGCTGGGATGGGCCTGGACTTTGCCCGACTCTTGGCTGCCGTGCGCTTCACCTGGTCATAGGATGAGTACTATTCTTACTATTCCTACTCTTATCACTATTATTGCTATTTTTAGTTGTTACTGCTATGACGAGTATTACTATTCTTCGTGTTCTTACTATTATTCAATTTACTACTATTGTTCCCATTGTTTCCCGGTTCTCGGCAAAATAGGTCTTGCAATCGCTCTCCCAGCCTTCTTTGGTGGTTCTTGGCTCAAACTGCCCGGGATCCTTGCCAAAGGTCCATGCATGTTCTGAGACGTGCTCTCACAGCATAGGCAAAGCGGCAGTACCACTCTTTACTGATTGTTAGTCGGGAGTAAGGGAATATAATCCCTATATAATCCCATAATAATCACTATATAATACCTATAGAATATCTTCCCTTACCCCCTACTAAACCCCAGTAGAAGTCAGGGACAACATTCTGAGCTCTGGTCGCCGTCAAACCTGATGATACTGCTTCTGCACTGGGCCCAGGCTCTACCTGCCAGCCGGGGAGTGAGTGCCACTGCTTTATGATGATTATTGTTCTTAATATGATTAGCATTCTTATGATTAATACTATTGTGACTAGTATAACTATTATTGCTGTTATCTTCATTCTTATGATTTTACCATTCTTACGATTATTGCTGTTCTTATTATTAGCGTTAGTATCTGTTCTTAGTGATGTTACTATCATTATCATTACTCTTATTCATATTACTAATGCCGGGCTAGTTACTGGCGGTCAGTAGGGAATGGTGGAAAGGATCCCTGCAGTGGTCCTCATCTAATCCCCTTAAAATATGATGGTCGCTTCCATGTTCTTTTCCATTTCACCATTCCCTACGGTACTACTCAGTATTGATAATAGTAATAGTAGTAAAAATAAGCATAATCATGAGAAGAACATCTTTAATCAAACCTACTGCAAGCCTCTGCAGAGGCGGCCGGCTCTGGGGTCTTCGACTGCGAGAGCACCCTCCCGGCATGCAGGAGCTCTTCTTGCGTCGTTTTGGCGAAGGCAAATTGGCTGAGGTCAATTGGAGGGCTGGGAGCCCTTTGCTCTGCATCCTGAGCTCCAGATGCAGGGGGAGTAGCACCCACACATGCTTCACTTTGACGCCTGGCTTCCTCCTGTGTGGTCTTTGCAAGGCAGAACTGGCTGAGGTTATCTTGAATCACAGCAGATGTTTGCAATTCCTCGCCCTCCTCTTCTTCTGTTTCCGTGTGCTCATCCGCTTCCTCACCAAAGTGCTCCGGGGCCTTCGAGGTGCTGTCCTTCGATGGAAGATGCAAATCGGGCGAATCGGGCGAATCGCAAGCGTTTGCCACAAGCACGGCCGCAGGAGCTGTTAGGTCCGTTAGGTTGTCAACTGGTGCGGCCAAGGGCTCCAGGATTTCTGAGCACTGCGACCCTTCGGCTTCTGGCAAAGCCTCGGGCACCCTGGTCGCGTGCTCTGTCCTGGCAGGCGCAGGATCGCGCATATCGCTCCCCTTTGGAGTAGTCGGGCCGGCTGGGGAGGCCGTGGGCGTGGCCGGTGCTGTTGATGGTGTGGAGCTTTCCCGAGCTGTTGGAGCAGAGAACGGCGCAGATAGCGTTGCATCTGCCAGGTCCTGTGCTCCAGTTGCAGCTGGGGCAGGGGGAGCATGTGTAGCGAGTGCTGCGTGAGGGGAGCCTGGCGCAGAATCTGTTTCTGAACCGGGCGATAGGAGTTTGTGCTCAAGGCCAGCTCTCACGGTTGAGTTCAGCCTCGCCCTGCCTGCCTTGCGGCAAGGAGTGGGGATCTCATCTGCCTGCAAGGCCTTTGTATGCTCCATGGCTTCCGATGCGCTCGGAAATTTCACCTCTCCCCTTACGGTACGCACTTGTTGCAGCCACGCTGGCACATCAGAGTCACGGCCAGGAGATGTCGTTGCCGAAGGGCTTCCGAAATTCAGGACACGGCGCGTGCTCAGCTTCGCGGGTGACTCCAACCCAAAGACCTCACAGGCAAGGCAAATAAGCTACGGCACACCTCTTGCAAAGCATGTACACCAAACACTTTTGAGATTGAATATTACTAAGATCTTTCAACCAAAATGGCCTTGGCCGGGCTCTCCTGCTTCAGTGCCAGGGGCACCCAGCTTGCTGGTTGAGGTTGCTGTGTTTGCCGGAGAGACCTCTCTCCATGCAAATCTGGTGTAGGAGGCGATGGTGGAGATTGAGAGCGCCCTCGCCCTGCAGATGCGGCATGCTCTCCAAAATTCTCTGCACGAGTTCGGTTCACCGAGGGAGCTTCTTGCTTGACATTCCAGGAGTCCGGACTGGAGATTGGAGACACAGTGGCAGCACCAGCGCCAATAGCTGTACCCAGCAGCGGCTCATCCGCCTCTTCCACCTCTTCCTGCTTTGCAGCCAAAAAGTCCCGGAGCGAAGGCTTTTGAGCTCGCTGCGGAGTGCGCCCACCCCACAGCGCGTTGCAGGCAGCAGAATAGCCGTCCACATCGAAGGGTTCAGCACCTTCGTCGCGTGGCCTCTTGGGAATAAGGAGGCTCAAGCGTGGTGGCGCCTTGCATGGAGTTGGAGCTCTCCTGACAGGAGGGATGCCAGCACCAACACCTGCTCTGGGTTTGCAAGCAGCTTCCTCGAACTCGATGTCGCCAGTTTGCACCATTACCGAAACCATGCGAGGGCTGTGGCTGCCATACTTGCGTTTTCTACGTGGCCGACTCTCAGCAAACTCGGTCTTATGCCCTGTGCAAATGCCATTTGCTGGAGCGGTAGGCTTCTCAAGAAGTTGATGTGCGGCGTCTGCAACTGTAGCATCCGGAGGTGCAAATGAGCCGAGCACCTTGCCTGCATGACAATCTTCATGAGAATTGGGTTGGCACCCTTGCTCTTCCGACACCTGAGCAGCCTGCACGTTGACTTCCTCCGCATCCAACTTGCCCTTGTCAACCACCGTGCCGACGGCACTTTTCTGGTTGTCGACGACGCTTCTTGTGGAAGGCTCCGCAGAGGTCCCACCCAAGAGCGGGGCACCTGGACATCGAGGGCATCCAGGCGGTTCTGCCTCCGATGGCGGTGCTTTCTGCAGCTCTGTCTGCTCGGACCTCTTGCAGGATTGCAAAAGCTCGGCCGTCACATCGTCCTCGCTTTCATTCTGATATGCCTGCGTGCATGCCAAATCATCGCGCGGCTCAGGCGGCCTTCTGCTTGCACAGTTTGCCGAAGCCAAGTTTGCCGCAGGAACATCTTGACAGTCTTGTAGGTCTGCCACTGCACCCCCATCATTCTCGTAGTGCAAGGTCTCCCCCAAAATCTCAGCAGCCTGCACGTTGACTTCCTCCGCATCCAACTTGCCCTTGTCAACCACCGTGCCGACGGCACTTTTCTGGTTGTCGACGACGCTTCTTGTGGAAGGCTCCACAGAGGTCCCACCCAACAGTAGCGAATGTGAATCTTTGGGTATGCTTTCTGAATTGCCACGCCTCATGCTGGACGGCAATTTTTCCTGTGTGAGATCGTCTTCACCTTCCTCATTGTAAAACTGTGTGCAAGCCAGCTCGTCACACTGCCGAACAGGTGAAGCTCCTGTCTCATCTGCTCCTTCATCAGCCCCATATGCCTGCGTTGAAGGAAGCCCATCAGCAAAGTTGTCGAATTCATCCCAGTTGTCACAGTACAGCTGCGTACATGCCAGCTCTGAATCGGGATGCGCATCCATGGCCTCCGATATGTGGTGCCATGCGGGTGT